AGTGGAAAAGAACAGATGATCCAGCTATAAACCCACACAGATTTAACCTGATTTTTGACAAAAGTGCCAAAAATACTCATTTGAGAAAAGGCAACTCCTTTAACAAATGGTGTTGGGAAAACTGTATCTGCATGTAGAAAAATAGAACTAGATCCTTGTTTCTCACCTTGCTCAAAAGTTAATTCTAAGTGGATCAAAGGCCTCAATGTAAGACTTGAAAATGTGAAACTGCTACAGAAAAAAAGTAGGAAAAACATTCCAATGCTCTCTGAACAGAAAACTAGACAACCCAATAAAAATAATGGGCGAAGGAACTAGATGCAGAGTTCTCAAAATAAGAAGCGTAAATGGCCAGTGAATATTTTTAAAAGTGTTCACCACCATTCTTAGCCATCAGGGAATGCAAATTAAAACTACTTTAAAATTCTAGCTCAAGCAAGTTAGGAAACAAATGGCAACAAAAGCTGTGGAGGATGTGGACAAAGGGGAACCCTCATTCACTGCTGGTGGGGTGCAAACTGGTGCGCCTCAAGGGAAATCAGCATGGAATTTTCTCAACAAACTAAAACTATAGTGTCCTAGTTTGTTTCTCCATTGCTGTGACAAAACACTCTGATCACTACCAACTTGGGGAGGAAATGGTTTATTTGTCTTACATCTCCTGGGTCACAGTTCAACAGTTCATCAGGTGCCCGAGGTAGGAACTCAGGGCAGGACCCTGGAGGCAGGAGATCTCCATGAGACCAAGGTCAGCCTGGTACACACAATGAGTTCCAGGCCCGCTGGGGCTATCAGGAGACCCTGTCTCAAAAAGACCAAAGTAAGGGGTTGGAGAGATGGCTCAGTGGTTAAGAGCACTGATTGCTCTTGCAGAGGACCCATGTTTGATTCCCAGCACCCACATGGCTACAAACTGTCCTTAACTCCAGTTCCAAGGGAATCTGAAGCCCTCTTCAGACCTACATGACATTGCACAACATGGGCGCACTCACATACATGCAGGCAATACACTCATACACATAAAATAAAAATAATAAATAAAATATTTTTTAAAAAGACCAAAGTAAATAAATAAAATACATATATAAAAATAAAAATTTTTTTTAAAAGAAGAGTTGGATTGAGGTACACTCCCAGAAGCCATAAAGATATGAAATGAAAATCTCAATGCCAAGGATGGGTTATCCACACAAATGCTGTTGGTCATGGAGGCCCTTGAGGCCCCCAGAACATTATAAGATACTGACACTGCTTTTGGTTGTCCAACTAAGGTAAGAGCCAATTGATGAAGACACCACATGCTTTGGTTGCAGGACATAGAGAAACCAAACTGAGCTAGAAGTTTTTTCCCTGCTGACTAGCTTTCATAGTGCCAGAAGGTGCTGTGCTGTTTGCCTGGAGAGAATTGTCATCAATAATCTTTCAGCTGTGGACTCTGAATGGGACACTATTGACCTGCCAGGCAAGATGTGCCCACTGGTGTGGTCACCGCTAGCGGCGGCCACTCCTCCTTTCTCGTGGGTGCCACTCCTTTGTTCTCACAGGCGTCAAGGCTGCTCCTCCACTCACCCTGGACTGAGGCTGGTCTTCTGCTCGCCTGGTGCTGAAGCAGCTCTTCTGCTTGCCCTGTGCTGCCTCCTGTCATTGCCACTTCTGTCCAGTCCTGGACCCTAGGGTTGGTGAGGAGACTGTGTCAGTGGAGCTGCATTCAGACACAGGAGACCAGGTTCAGTGACACAGGTCTGCTTTATTGCAGGAAGGCACAAGCTTATATAGGGGTAGTGGTCCAATCACAGCACAGCAAGTAGGATACCTTATTAGCATAACAAGTTTAGCATCCTATCACAGTACAGCAAGTAGGATACCTTATTAGCATAACAGTCCTTGCATCCTATTAGCATAACAGACTTAACATCCTATCACAGACTAGCAGGTAGGATGCCTCATTAGCATAATGGGTTTCAGATTATAGAGCCTGGATTCCTGGAAACCATGTGACCCTGACTGTTGCAATATCTAAGTGTTGCAATTTTGGATTCCAAGGGTAGCGATTAGGGAGTGACGAGCTCTAGGCATCAGTCTCATGATCTGCCAATGGGAGCAAATATCACAAGGCATTTCTTGTGGCTCCAGCAGTTGGGCCGTTGCCTCAGGCCTGCTGTATGGCTGTCAATAAGACTTTCACCCTAGGCTCAAGCCTGTCTCCCACACACTGGTGCAATAGTGGCAGATCTGTTATGGGATAACCAATTGATTTCTGATAGGATTTGATGTCTGTTCCACGGGAAATAATTCATGTCTGGTACTGTAAATGTGGTCAAAAGCTCATGCATGGGGAGGTCAAAGTCCCTAGTGCTTAAAACTGCTACTGTGGTTTGTGGGCTTGAGAGATGGCTCAGTGGTTAAGAGCACTGGCTGTTCCTGCAGAAGACCTGGGTTTGAATTCCAGCACCCACATGGTGGCTAACAACTGTCTGGCTAACAACTCCAGTTCCTGGGAACCTGACACCTTCTTCTGTCCTCCACAGGCACTGCATGACACGGGTGCACTTACATACATGCAGGCATAACATTCACACACATAAAATAAAGATAAATCAATTAAATAAATCTTACTGCTGTGGTTTGCAAAATGGACATGATGTTCCTGCCAAATTGCCTCTAAATAATTATGGATCTGCCTGTAAATTAGTGATGCTGATTAGCTTTGTTCACAGAAGCTGCCCTCACTGCCCCCCCTTGGGTAGTGGTAATGCAGAGACTCATAACTGGTTAAAATGCTGAGAATAAATGGCTGTTGAATGCTTAGCGCTAAACAGGACATCTATATCACCCTGCATGGCTCAGGGAGTTCTGTGGAAGAGGAGGTGGAAAAAATCTAATACCTGGTGGATGCAGTAGAGTGTTGTGGAATGCTGTCTGCCTGATAGGGCTGTGATACTCTTGAACTCACAGCAGCTGTGATTTTCTGCACAAGGCCTACACAAGACTGGACCTTTCATCATTTCATCATGGAAAGGAGAGGGGGTGATAGGCCCCATCCGTCCCTATAAACAGTTAATGGTTGCTAGGGCTGAGAGTTTCAGAAGACTCCACCCTCCCTGAGGACATTTTCTTCAGTGGCATAGCCACTGGTAAGTTTCTCATGCTCCTGTAAACAGCCCCTCACCCAAGTTCCCATGGGTCATGAAAGACAGAAAGCAAGGGGAAGACTACTTGGAGAGAAGAAGCAGGAGTGCTGTGGGAGAAATAGGGTAGTGTGGTGAACATGACCAAAATACATTATATACATGCATGAAAATGTCATAATGAATCCCATTGCTAAGTATAATTAATATATACTAATCAAAACTTTAAAAATCAAGTAACTCCCTGAAGGGCTTTAGGCAGAATAGCTAATCAGAACATAAAGGGGACGTAAGATGGGGTAAGAGCCCCTTTACTTTTCAGGTCTGACTTCAGTTTCTTGCACCCAGATATCTAGACAGAACAAACCAAGCCACCTGTAAAAGAATCGAACCCCCTTGTTGAGAAACATCATAGATGAGTTTATTTTCAGATTTAGTTTATTTATTTTAATTGTGTAGGGGGGGGTATGTGCATGTGAAAGCAGGTGCCCAAAGGTGGCCATAAAAGGGCGTCAGCTCCTCTGGAAATGGAGCTCCAGGCAGTTAGTTGTGAGCCAAATGACATGGGTGTTGGGATCTGAACTCAAGACCTCTGGAAGAGCAGTATCTGCTCTAAACCAGAGCCATCTCTCCAGTCCAAGAGATTATTAAAATGGCTAATGGACTAGAAGTTAAACTCAACCTCCTTGTGAGGGAGGTTGTATAAGTATGTATGTATAAGTATCTTTTTGGCCTTTTCTATATGTATGCTGTGCGTGTGTGTGTGTGTGCGTGTGCGTGTGTGTGCGTGCATATATATGTGTTTGTATATGTGTTTGCATGGGTGCACATGTTTATGGGGGTATGTGTGTGTATGCAGAAGTGTGTGGAGTCCTGAGGACAATCTCGGTATTATTCCTAAGGCACCACTCCTTTATCCCATTTTTTGAGACAGGCCAGAAGCCCCAAGAATCCACCTGAATATGTCTCCAAAGTGACAGGATTACAAGCCAGTCCATCATGCCTGTATTTTTATTTTCAACGTTGAGTTCTAAGGATTGAATTCAGGCAAATATTTTACTGACTGGACATCTCCCCTGCCCTTGATGTGTTTATCTCTACTAACATTCTCTTCTCTAGTGGCAAGCCTACTAAATGTACCTTTAAAAGTTTCCTCTTCAAGGGAGAATTCTTTGGATGAGAAAAATATGTATACCAGCACACCTTTCCCCTAGTAGCTAAGCTTAGGATTAAATAGCTGCAATACCCCAAATCACATATATAGCTACTACTGAGTCACTTGGGTGAATTCCTCTCATAATAGGCACAGTTGAGCCTCCTCAAGTCTTACCCTTCCTAATCAGTGACCTGGGTAACTCTGGGACTTGTCCAGAAATACCTTTCTGTTGTAGAAGTCAAGCGCCCCCCGCCCCCCAGCCAGAGGTTGTATTTCCAGCTGCCTGTGACTGACTCACAAAACATTAAATGGGAACAACCTCGGAATTAGGAGTGGCGTTGAGATTTGAATTCAGCAGACAAGTCCTTGCTATCTATTCTCTTTTTTGGATAAGGCACTCACTGTAGGTGATGAAGTATTCCTGGAAACAGTTTGAACACCAAACCTTCTCCTGTTAATGTTTCTTGGTCCTGTCTCTTCAGAAGAGTCTTCTTAATGGTCTCATGATTAAGAGATGCTTAAAACGAGAAGGAGCATTTATTTAACCATAAATGAAATACAGCTGAATTCTCTCCCCATCTCCGCCCAAGCTCAGGATTTTTGGTCTTCCCGAGATCCCGGCCGAGACTACATTTCCCAGCAGACTGTGTTCGGCCCTTACGGATACCGGCATGAGGTCAATCGCCACTGGCGGCGGCGCAATCGCTCTGTGGATTGCTGACCCGCGGGCGCGTTGCGTTTTGAATGGCTTCGATCCCGGGCCCTCTGAGCATCTGAGGAGCAGCCGCCCCGGGGTGCGCGATGCCGTCTGGAGGAGACCAGTCGCCGCTGCCGCCGCCACCTCCGGCTGCGGCCGCCTCGGATGAGGAGGAGGAGGACGACGGCGAGGCCGCGGATGGCGCGCAGCTCGAAGGGTCCCCGGCCCCTCATATCCAGCAGCGGTTTGAGGAGCTGTGCAGCCGCCTTAACATGGACGAGGCGGCGCGGGCCGAGGCCTGGGACAGCTACCGGAGCATGAGCGAGAGCTACACGCTGGAGGTGCGCTGGGGGCCGCGGGCGCTGCGCGGGCCTAGTCGACGGGCAGCCCTGCGCCTGCAGCGGCTGGAGGGCCGGGCTGTGAGGCGTTCGGCGGCTCGGAGGCGCACCGTGAGCCGGGTCCGGCTTACGGAGACGGCCGGCGGGGTAGAGCGGACAGGTGGGGTCCTGTCGCGCGCAGAGGGAGGGGCTCCGGGCCGCCGCGGGGCGCCCAGTGCAGCGCTGGGGTCGCGGGGCAGCTCCGGTTGTTTTCAGCGCCCTGACACCGGTTGCCTTCGCCTTGCGCTGCAGAGGTTCGGGCTTGCTTCTGTGTGTAAACAAGTTAGGACGACTCCCCCAACCCCTGCAAACCGAGAGGACTGTGAGCCTAGCCGGGTGCAGACGCGCGCCCCTTTGGTGCTGAGACTCCGGAGTGCGGGTACCTCTGGGCACGCTTTGGATGCCGCGGAGATACAGGCTTGACATTTGTCATGTCCCTTTCGGACCAGGCTTGCGGAAGAGAAAAAAGGCCATTTTAGCCGGTGCCTGTCAACTCTGCACGCACCGCCCCTGCATGGGCCAATGGGAAGTGACGCGGAAGTCGGAATTGTTTATCAGCTGTAGGCCTGTGCCGGTGCCATTTAAGCTTGCGTCCCTTGATTTTCTCAAGCAGTTATATATATAGCTTATGGAAGGGGCCTAACCAAGGTGTTAACTGTAATGTGATGGTTTTGCCTGTGTTTAAAAAAAAAGATTGAAAAGTCCGTTCAGATTTACTTCAATTACAGGCTCCCTCTCCCCATTGTTATATTGGGGGGGGGGGGGGGGGGCCACGGGGAAAAAAAAAAGATTGAAAAGGCCGTTCAGTTTTACTTAAATTACAGGCTCCCTCTCCCCATTTTTATATTGGGGGGGGGGGAGTGGCACACGGGACGGACGACGTAATATGGTGGCTTTAGACCTTAAAGATCAGAGTGACTTTGGACAAGTTACTTAACCTCTAGGAAACTCAGTTTTGTTATGTGTGAGCTGGAGATACTTGTGCCGCCTACCTCGGAGAGCTGTGCTGGTGCGTACAACTCTCCCATAGTCTGAGGCTGAGGCAGGCAGGTTGAAGAGGCCATGACCCCCTTGATTACTCAGTATTTCCTGTAGCTAAGCAAAGAGAAGGACTTTGGTTTGAAGAGCATAAAGTGCCTCCAAACAAGCTCTTACCTTACCCTCAAGATGACCCTATAAATTAGGCAGAACAGGCATTTCCCACAATACAGTAGAGGGATTTCAACTCACAGAGGTTAAGGAATATGAACCCTAGTGTTACATATGCAAGTGACAATAGATGCTTAATAAATAACAATTACTTTAAATTTATTAAATTTATTTATTATTTGTTGTGTGTGGATGCCTGCTGTGCAGGCATGTAGACATCAGAGGACAATTTGCAGGAGTCATTTCTGACCTTCCAGCAGTGTGTCCCAGGGCACTTAATCAGGTTGTAACGTTTGGTAGCAAGCACCTCTTTATCTGCTGAACTGGTTATCTTGCCAGCCCCTTTAGTGAAATTATTTTTGAAAACACATGGGTGATTGTTTGAGATTTTTTTGTTTTGTTTATTTCGTTTTTGGTGGTTTGTTGTTGTTGTTGGTGGTTCAATTTTTAGCCCAGGTTACCTAATGTGTGTATGAATATTTGTCCATTTATGAAATATTTATTGCATATCTATCATTTTCCAAAGTATTCTAGGTGCTAATAAAGCAGTGGGCACAACCTAAAGCTCCTTGCCTTATGGAGCTTATAGTCAGCTATGCTGTAGACTAATATAGGCTGGCAGTCTTCTGGAAGTGTACAAAGAAAATATCATATGATATTTAATACAGAACACTGGGCATTTTCTTTTTTCTTGCTGAATTCTTGCAGCTTATTGAATTCTCACAGCTGTCAGCTAAAAAAAGGAAGCCTCCAAGCTCAATTTTCCCATAGTGTTATAGCTAGTCTATGTCAGAATCAGAATTTAACACCTATTGTACTTGACCTTATATGGCCATAAATTGTTATTTTTAGAATGACTTCTTTTTTTGAGACAAGGTCTCATATAGTGCAGGCTGGCCTTGAACTTGCCTCTACTCCAATGCTGGGATTACTAGTTTTGCACCCAATTTATGCCTAAAGTCTCAGGCATGCTGGGCAAGCATTCTACCAATTAAGCTACATTCCCAGCTTTTTGATGACTATTAAGGATTTTCTCAACAAATATTTGTTAGGACTAAAGATAGACAAGGTACAGAGGAGTTTCATCTGTTGTCTGTGGCCCCCAGGTATGAATCACTTTACAAAGCCCTTTCTCATCTCCTTTATCTTTCAAGCACTATGAAATTCTCATATTTGAGACTTAGTTTTTTCTTCTTTTTGGTAATGATGTAGTTGTAAATTCTCTAAAACCAAATAGAACATAATAGTCCACTTTTATACTCTTTATTAGACCAAAAGATACCATTATAACTGCCTAATCATATACTTCCTAAAAGATGTTGATAGCAAACTAATTCTGTGGTTATAAAGATCAATTTACCTCATGATCATGTAAATTGAGAATCTTATGAAACCCTGAGGCTGACCATATAGGTCAGTGAAGTGCTTGTCTAGCATGAGCAAGGCCCTGAGTTCAAATCCCTAACAATGCCCAAAAGAACCAGTGAAGCCATTCTTCAGAGCTGTGTTTAGGGATTGGGAAGATGACTCATTGGATAAAATGCTTTCGTGCAAGTATGAGAACCCAGCTTCCATGAGAAAAGTTGGGCATGGTAGCTATGGTTCAGGAATTCAGACTGAGCACAGTGGTGATGCTGTTTCTGCTTCAAAATGGCTGATGTCTCATATGGAAGTCTTGAGCCATGGGAGATTGGCACAGCAGGGCTCATTGGGCATCTTTCTAATGCAACTGCTCACCCCATCCAGATTGTTTCTCTCCAGCATGGTGATTCAAGGTAGCCATACTTTTTTCCATGTTGGTTTAGGACTCGTAAGGGACGTGTCCTGCAAGACAAAGCTAGGTGGAATGTCTATTCCCTTTTATGATCTTTGAACTTACATAGTATCACTTCTACCTATATGATTAGCGGAGACAGTCAGTGTAAAGGGAAGTAGGAATCTGCCCAGGTTCAAGTGAAGGAACAGAGGCACCTGCCTCTAATGGAAAAATGTCACAAATAAAGATCACATGGGATAAGGTCATCATAGAAACATCACTTTCCATATAAAAGTAAGACATTTTATATTGAAACATATATGGGTCATTAACTAAAACTTTTTTCTTTTATAGGGAAATGATCTTCACTGGTTAGCATGTGCCTTATATGTGGCTTGCAGAAAATCCGTTCCAACTGTAAGCAAAGGGACTGTTGAAGGAAACTATGTGTCTTTGACTAGAATCCTGCGATGTTCCGAACAGAGGTAACTATATTAGAGCTTGAAAATTAGAATGTAGTGAAAATATGAGCTCTCGAAATCACACTGATGACAATTCTCTTTGCTCATTATTTTCTGAGCATTTGTACCTGTTGATAGTTGAATTTAGAAACTAGGTCAAGGTTTTCCTTTACCATTTCAAAGTCAGAATATTTTACTAATTTGATGACTATATTTGTGCTTTAATCGCTTAAATGCATTAGGTATTTGTATGGGAGAATTTACTTTTTTTGAGACATGGTCTCATTGTGTAGTCCTGGCTTTCTTGGAGCTTGTTATATAGACGAAGCTAGTTTGGAACTCACAGAGGTCCACCTGCCTCTGTCTGCTGAGTGCTGGGATAAAGGTATGTGCCACCATGCCTGGCTGTAAGAATTTACTTGGAAAGGTTATGACTCATTCTATAGTACTGGTCTAGATTTAAATAAGGATAACCAGAAACTTTTGGAGAGAGTTTTAAAAGATAAATGTCAGTTATGTGATATGTTTAGATATATATGCATAGAACTTGTGCTTACTATACACAGAATGTGAAGTAAAGTTGAAGCTGCCATCTCTGACCCATTTCTTGGTGTAGTTTCTAAGAAATTCCTGCACATGTACAAAGATGTTTATTTCACAATTCTAAATAAACTATATTCATACAGAGATGTTTATTTCAACATTTTTTGGTAATGGAAATTTAGAAGCAACCTAAATTTATGCTGGTTGAGGAGTCAGTGCAGAAAGTCATGGTATGTTCATCAGAAGGAATGTTTCTAGTAATTACATGAATCAGATATCTGTATGTGTGATTAATCAATCTCAGAAATATGAAATGCAAAGCAAGTTTCAGAATGCTGCTTACAGTATGATACAGTTTATATAAAATTAGAAAAACAAATACTGTTTTTGAATATATATGTATAGTAAGTATGAAAATATGGATAGGAAAGAATCAAACTAACCAGAATCTTTGGGAAAGAAGAGTGAAGAATGGGATTAGGGAGACATGCAAATTAAAATTTTGGCTGTTTCTGTAGTATTTTTTAAAAAAGAACTAAGCCAGGTCTGGAGAGATCGTTCAGTAGTTAAAGAGCACTGGCTGCACTTGCGGAGGATCCAGGTTTGGTTCCCAGCACCTCCATGGCAGGTAACAACTGTCTGTAACTTCAGTTCTAAGGAATCCAACACCTTCTTCTGGCCTCTGTGGGCATTGCATGCTTGGGTGCACTTAAATACATGCCAGCAAAACACTCATACACATTAAAATAAATGTTTTTAAAGTAATGGTATCTGTAAATTTTCATGCTGTACATTCTCAAACTTTTTGGAATATAGAATTTTATTCTCAGAAACACTGAATTAAAAAAAACATAAAAAGAAAAGAAGAGAAAAAAGATCTAAGCCAGGGGGTGGTGAAAAGACTCAGCTGGTAAAAATCCTTGCTGGCCACCCAGTGATGCAAATGTGGTGATCCGAGTTCAATCTCCAGAACTCATATAAAGGTAGAAGGAGAGAACCATCTCCACATGCACTCTGCGGCACAAGTATCCACGCACACACATCACAGATACACACACATGGTAATAATAAATTTACATTTAAATTACAAAACAAAATAGTGAGATCTAAGCCAGATATGGAATCTCTGTAATTCTAGCACTTGGGAGGCTGAGGCAGGAGGATTGCTGTGGATTTCAGGATAGCCTGAGCTGCACAATGAGTTTCAGATCAGAGTGTAGAGTGAGACCTTGTTTCAAAATGAAAAATAAAAATCTGAAATACATGATGATTTATTAAATATGATATTATTTGTTAATCTTGGGTCCATACTTAGTTATATTATTCTTTTTAATAGTTTTTCTTTTAAGGCTGGGGATTGAACCCAAGGCTTTATACATGCTAGTTAAATGCTATCACTAAGGTACATCCCTAGCCTATTTTTGTTTTATACTTAAAAATATTTCATAATTTAAAAAACAACCCTAAGGAGTTCTGGAGATGGCTCAGTCAATAACATGCCTGATGTGCAATCATGAGGGACTGAGTTTGGATTCCTTGCACCTATGTAAAAAGCCGAGTGCAGCGGTGTGTGTCTATAATCCCATTGTTGAAGAGGTACAGACAGGAAGACCCTTAGCATTTGCTGGCCAGCCAGTCTAGTTGAATTGTGCTGCTTCAGGTTCAGTGAGAGACTGTCTTAAGATATAAACTGGGACTGGCATGATGGCTCAGCAAGTGAGGGACTTACTACCAAGCCTGGTGACCTGAGTTCAATTCCTGGAACCCACATGGTGGAAGGAAGAACTGACTCCCACAAATTATCCTGTGACCTCCGTATTCATACATGTGACTGGATAGCCACACAAAATAAATAAATATAAAATTTTTTAAAGTAATAAAGACTATTGAGGAAGGTACCTGGCATCAACCTCTAGCATCCCTGTGCATCTCCACACATGTGTCTACATGAACACATCCTTACATATACACCTACATGAACACATTCTCATACATATATCTACATAAAAACATATACCTACATGAACACATCCCCACACATATGCCTACGTGAACACATACAACAACATGAGCACATCCCTACACATGTACCAACATGAACACATGCATGCATACACACACACACACACACACACACACACACACACAC